CAGCTTTCTCAAGCTCTCCACATCGGTTCTAAGGAGCGCCCCAATCCACATGCAATTCTCTAATAAGAACCCTGATTAAAATATCAAATCTGACTCCACATTAAGAATGTTGCTAATAATAAAACTGAGATTTTTTTTGGAATAAAATTGCAAAAATTTCAAAATAAATTATATTCAACCCCAATCAAGGAACAAAAATTGGAAGTACTTTCAGACTTTGCTCATGAGAATATAAATTGGTATAATCTTTCTAGAAAGCAATTTAGCCATGTAGACCAAGAGCTTATGCCCTCTGAGAGAGTAATTACCGAACAAGAAATTCAGCCTAAGGAAATAACCAGAGATGAGCAAGAGTATATATTTATAACAATATTCACTATAGAATATTAGCAAAAGTTATTTAAAACAACCCACAAGTCCAGAAATAGATTAATCACATAAATTACCATGTAGCCATAGGATAGGATATTATGCAACTATTAAAAATACCATTTTGAAGAATATTTCATGACAAGGGAAATGGCCAAAATACAGTTAATTTTAAAACTTTAGGTTATAATTGTATCAACATTATGGTCCCAGCTTAAAATATATATGTACATACTTATATTTGATAAAAGATTAGATACATACCACAATATCAGCAATCGTTCTCTGTGAAAGATGGTGTCACAAGTTATTTTTTATTCTTTTAAAACTTTTCTATCTTTTCTAAATTTTCTTCAGTAAGCAAATTATTACTCATATTTATATGTCTATCTAGATAGATAAATGCATACATATGTATATTCAAAGCCTGTCCTCCTGCTCATCTAAATGAAGGAAACTTTCATACTGTTCTACATGGTTCCAGAAGTAGCTTGTGTGGCTTTGTAAATAATACGTTGGACCAAAAAACTAATATTCATCCAAACACACTCACAATGAGGCAAGGCCAGTGGTGCTTCTGTTGTTCCAAAGCTAAAGCAGAAAACTGCCTGAATCTGAGCCATTCACATGCCTGGGTTTCACCCAGTTCTAAAATCTCCACGCTACTTGTTGTTTCTACTTAACCCTTCTCATGTTACCTCTTGAGAAAGTCTCTACCAGAGACAGCAAAGGCAGGGAAAGAGGTTGACAGCAAATTACGGCAGTAGTAGTTTGGCTGCACGTTATCAGCTCCCCTCCAAAGATTTAGAAAGGGTATGGAACTAATGCCTAAAATGGGATTTAGAGATCCCTGTGGACTTTAATAATTCATGCTACACCAGTACCCAGGGAAAGCTGGAAGCTACTTTAAGAATCAAAGTACATGCAACTATGTGCCAAAAGCCCCCTGCAGACGATGGTGTCAGACTCCCCAGATGTGCATGAGGCCCGAAATCAATCCTCCAAAAGGCTGATCATTTCTTTTAAAAGAACACGAAATGCCTCAAGTCCTTTCAGGAAGTAATAGAGAAAAGGGCCAAATCATAACAAAAAATGCATCATTTCTGAAAGAAAAAATTCTATAGAGTCCGTGAGTTCTATTGATAATGGGGTCTCTAAATACTTCAGACGAAGTAACAGATGACCACAACAGTGTGTGTGTCCACATTTGTATGTGTATGTGCACACGTGTGTATGTAGGGATGTATTTAGGTAGAAGTGTAGGTATAACTGTACAAGTGAGTGTGTGGTGGGGTGTGTATAGAGCATGTGAGTAGATGTGGGTGGGTAGGTACATGTGGGTGTGTAAGGCTGGTATAGTAGGCGAATGGAGGGAACAGAGTAGGAAATAATAAGAACAGAGAATGGATATAAAACACAGCCCTAAATGAACTAAAAGGAATCAACATCTTTTAGACTAGTATGGAAAAATGTGATTAAATTAAAGGGAAACTGATATTTTAAATGCCACAAACCTCACCAATGTGATAACATATTTAGTTTAGAGAAGTTCCAGTGTATTGCAAAACAAGGAACATCCTCATAATGACCATTTAGGAAATTAAATGACAGTCTATACTATCCCTAGTCCCGCTCAGCTGAACTTCCAGAAGACCTTAGATCAATACCTGACCCATTCCAACGAAGTCTGATCATGTATCTGGGGCTCTGTCCCCACCAATAAGAGGACGCGGAGAATGAGTGCTGCTGGCGTCAGCCTGGTCTAACCTCCTGGGCATGCACATGAATCGACACACACATACACACACACACACACACACACACACACAGAGCTGCAGGCTCCACCACCTCCCCACCCATCTACATGACACCCACACATGACTGCTTGCCTGCCTCAGTTTCTTGTATGATTCTGCCTTGCTTGGTTCCATCCATCCATCCATCTATCCATCCATCCATTCACCCATCCATCTGTCCATCTATTTATCCATCCATCCATTCACCCATCCAACTATCCATCCAACATTTATTAAGAGCATTCTATGTGCTGTTCTGCTGGTCTCTCATCTATATACCCAGCCTGCTCAGTTGGACATAAACATTTTGATTAACTCTTGTCAATCCTCTTCCCCAAACCGAATTATTGAACTTCGATCCCCACATCCCTGGCCCCCAGGTATTTGCTTAGGTACTGCCTCAAACAGTTCCCATGCAACTATGCAGGGGAAGCCTCTCCCAGAAGCCCTGGCTGCCACATACAGATGCTCCTCGACTTATATGGGGACACATCGCTATAAACCCATTGAAAGCTAAAAATATCATAAGTCAGCTGGGCACGGTGGTTCATACCTGTAATTTCAGCTACTTGGGAGACTGAGGTAGGAGGATCCCTTGAGGCCAGGATGTCAAGACCAGCCTGGGCAACACAGGAAGACCTCATTTATTTAAAAAAAAAAAAAGTTTTCTTAATTAGCTGGACATGGTGCCTCAGTCATGAAGTCCCAGCTACTCAGTAGGCTGAGACAGGAGGATTACTTGAACCCAGGAGTTTGAGATTACGGTAAGCTATAATCATGCCACTTCACTCTAGCCTAGGCAACACAGCAAGACCCCATTAAAAAATATATATGTATATGTATATGTACATATGTATCTATGTGGGTGTGTATATATATACACATACATATATAAAGTCCAAAATGCATTTAACACCCCTAACCTACCAAACATCATACATTAGTTTAGCTTGCCTTAAACGTGCTCAGAACACTTACATTAACCTACAGTAAGGCAAAATCATCTGGCAACACAGCACACTGTACAGTATCAGTTGTTTACCCTCATGATTATATGGCTGATTGGGAAGTGTGGCTCCATGCCACCACTCGGCATCAGAAGACAGTATTTCACCACACATATGGACAGCCCAGGAAGAGATCAAAATTCAAAGTATGGTTTCTACCGAACAAGTATTGTTTTTCACAACCTTAAAGTTGAACAATCATAAGTCAAACAATGGTAAGTTAGGAACCATTTGTACATCCCACCACCCTACCCCACCACACACACACACACACACACACACACACCCCAAGATCTGGTCCCTTGCACATCAATCCAAGGTGAGCTGTCTTTCTGTATGCGATTTCCACCATGAATTTTACTTTGGCTACAACCCCACACCCACCCACACATGTATGTTCATCCTCTAGCATGGGTTCTACTTATCCTTGCTCCTTAGCTTCCCCTCTCATGTCTCTTGTAATTCTGACAGGCCTCACATCCAAGGTACACATCACACAAAAAAAGTACTAAGATTGTATTACTTTGGTCAAAATTAACATAAATAATACTTTGGGCGACCAGGCATGGTGGCTCATGCCTATAATCCTAGCTCTTTGAGAAGACAAGGTGGGCAGATCACTTGAGGTCAGGCATTCAAAACCAGCTTGACCTACATGGCAAAACCCCATCTCTACTAAAAATACAAAAATTAGCCGGGCATGGTGGTGCACGCCTGTAATCCCAGCTACTCAGGAGGCTGAGGCAGGAGAATCTCTTGAACTCGGGAGGCAGAGGTTGCAGTGAGCCAAGATTGCACCACTGCACTCCAGCCTGGGTGACACAGCATGACCCTGTTTCAAAAATAATAATAATAATACTTTGGAAAGCACTAGACTTACAAAGTATTTGTTGACATTTTCATTTTCCCACAGTCTTGAACCTTTTAGCTCTACGAGTTTTATTTTTTAATTTAAGACAGTCTTACTCTGTCACCCAGGCTGGAGTGCAGTGGCATGATCTTGGCTCACTGCAACCTCTGCCTCCTGTGTTCAAGCAATTCTCCTGCCTCAGCCTCCCGAGTAGCCGGGATTACCGGTGCATGCCACCAGGCCCAGCTAATTTTTGTATTTTTAGTAGAGATGGGTTTTTGCCATGTTGGTCAGGCTGGTCTCGAACTCCCGACTTCGTGATCTGCCCGCTTTGGCCTCCCAAAGTGCTGGGACTACAGGCATGAACCACTGCGTCCAGCCGCTCTGCTACTCTTAGTGTATGATCTACAGCCACTCTGTTAGAACAGGAGGAGAGAGTGGCTTGAATGCAAATGGCACCAAATCCTATGTACTTAGAGTTACATGTGCAACATCTAAGAACGGTTTAGACTCAGAACATCTGAAACAGCCAGTGAGTTCATCAGCATCACCCCACCGTGGCTGCTGTAGCACTGGATATACCAGAAAGTGAGGAGCCGCCATTGCCCAAAGGAAATTAAGGAAAATCAGCAAACCAAGGGCACTAGGTGGAATTCAAGCCCTATTTCAGGAACAAATCTTAAGTCTCACTATGTAAGCAGATGGAAGAAAAGCGCTAGCATAAAAACATGGCAGGATCTGTGTCAGCACTACTAAGAACATAGTCTGGGCAAGACAACAGGTGAGAAGCCCAGACTCTCTTCCACCCCAAAGTATACTGAGTACAGAGAACCAACCCTAGCCCTGTACACCACAGCCTGGTGTCTCCATAAAGCACACCCAAGACCAAAGCATTGGTCTAGAATTCTCCACTGTGCTACCCCACTGCCCACCCAGCCCCAGTAAGCCCCAAAACCTGAAGAGGTGTGTAGGGCTTGCCTTTGATCAGTCGTTCAGGTCTTGTCCCTGGTAAGGTCCACATTGCCTGTGCCAAGTGTCCAAAGACAGTGGCGTCAAGAGTGGAAAGCTTGGGCCCCATGATGTACTTCTTATCACCTGCAGTAAATAAAGCAGAGAAGTCACTGGGCTGGCCCACACTACCTCACATCATCACAATGACATTCAGCACACTCTATTACACATTCTTATACTGAATACCAAAAAGCTTTGCAGAGTCGAAATGCATGCACACCCGTTTGCTTAAAAAAAAAATAGAACAAAGGTAAAATGAATTAAGCAATCATGTGATACACCAACCCATAGGATAGCAACACAAGGAACATATCAAAATAAGCAGATGAGAGAGGGCATTCATGGAAAAAAGGGAGAATTGACCACCACCAGACCTCTGGGGAACCCATCTCAAACTCTAGTTAAGTCAAGTCTGTGATGCGTAAGAACACCTGGAAGTTTGCTTAAATCATCTCAAAAGTAACCCAAAGCAAGCACAGCCAACATCAGCACTTACATTGTTAATTTAAATACATTTCCCCAGGAAAAACAGGAAGCCTAAGCTCCTTAAGAGGTTTGGAGGTGAGATTTCCCATGACACTACATGGTCCTGGCAAGGTTCTCACCTCTGAGGACCACCTTCCACGGAAAACATTAAGAGAAGCTATGAGGTCACAGGCTCAGCCCTGGCATCAGGCTCTCATGAAAGGATGTTTCACACTACTGCTCCCATCTCTCCGTTTCACACTACTGACTTCATCCAGGCCTCGTCACCGGACTATCACACTCAACCTATTAAAACTGACCCAAGTCATCTCCCAGGCTACTGTTAGACACTGCTGCATATGGAAGGAGCACGGGGGGAGATGGATCTGCCTAGTTCACATCCTGGCATCACTGTTATTCACTGTGGGAATCTGGTCATCACATAACCTCTACAGCCTCAGTTTTCCCATCTGGAAATGGGGATGGAACTAAGAGTGTCTATTTCTTTGGGCTATTGTGAGGATGAAATGACATAACGTACATTAGCACTCATGATAGCCCCTCCCTTTCTCCAGTCCTTTCCACATCCCATCTGACACTATCAACTTCCTAAGACTTTTTTTTTTTTTTTTTTTTTTTTTTTTTTTTTTTGTGAGACAGAGTCTCACTCTGTTGCCCAGGTTGGAGTGCAGTGGCACGATCTTGGCTCACTGCAAGCTCCGCCTCCCAAGTTCAAGTGAGTCTCCTGCCTCAGTCTCCCAAGCAGCTGAGATCACAGGCAGCCACCACCACGCCCGGCTAATTTTCGTATTTTTAGTAGAGACAGGGTTTCGCCATGTTGGCAAGGCTGGTCTTGAATTCCTGACCTCAAGTGATCTGCCCACCTCAGCCTGCCAAAGTGCTGGGATTACAGGCGTGAGCCACTGCACCCGGCCCTAGGACACTCTTTTAATCATGTCACTCCCTTTCAAACACCTTCCATGGCTTTTGAAATGATTATGAAATGAAGTCCAAACTCAACTTAGAACTTAAAGTGCATTATACATTGCCTCCAACCCAGGTTCCAGCTTTATCCTTCATTCCTCCCTTATCCTAGCAAACCCGGAGGCCACCCCCATTCCCCAGCACACTTTATGCCTCCAACTGTTACACCTTTGCTCATGCTGTGCCCACCCTTTCTCTGCCCCCACAACTTATATGTGCTCACCACTCCTCTCGAATCAATTCTATCCATCCTTCAAGGTCCAGCTCCAGCCTGCTTTCAAAGTTTTCTGGTGGCAACAGGAGCTTTCAGTTCATACAGTCCTGTGTTTACATCTCCCTTTTGCACATATAGCCTTATAGGACTTTAAGGCATTTAATGCCTATTAACCTTCTCAACTATAAAATGAGAAGAATAACTGAGGTGACTTGAGCAGAGCACACAGCAGATATATCCTACCTCTTCTCTCTCAGGCTTCCTGAGTGACATTTTTCCCACAATGCTCCATACACAGTGTGTGTGTGTGTGTGTGTGTGTGTGTGTGTGTGTGTGTGTGCATTTTATCTTTCCAGCTAAATTGTTAGCTCTTTGAAAGTAAGGGTCAATTCTTGCTTTTATTTAGCAAACCCTTATACCGCATTTACTATATGCCTGGCCTGGTTCTACAGGCTGTACTCTAGGACTATCTACCCCTTTCACCACTCTTGAGTCACAAGCTGAGGAAACTGAGTATCTGATGACAATGCACAGGAGAGACAGGAAGGGGAAATGGTTGGAGGTGGGAACACAAGTTAACAACTGTTACAGCACAAATGAAGCAGGAAGTGATTTTTAAAAATCATTTCTCCTATATATGTCATAAGGACCAAGGAATACCCTATAGTAGGGCAATATGCTGAACCTAACCAAATTGCCTTTTCTGGCGAGGACAATCAAGTCATTCACGTTACAGCCCTTAGTTATTTCCCATTGTCAACCAAATTCTCCATCATTTGAGTCTTATACCATTATCCAAATACTGGGGGGAAATCCAGAGAAAGTACTACCTGGACAGAAATAATAACGAAAAATCAGATACCATAAGAAGTAATTTCTAAGGTGTTACTCCTGGGGTTGCATCCCGCTGGCGCTATGCCTCCACCACACCCCTGCTGGCATTAAGTGAATGCAGGGAGGCAGAGGGAAACTGCACAGAAACTCTCCTGCCATCCTGCTAGGGCAGGAGGGCGTGTTGGCCAGGTGGCCCAACAGTCCTCCCTATGGGATTGTACCAGGCTCAACCCATTCAAAGTCCAAACACCGGACTACCCACATACTGGAAGCCATGAGAGGGCTTCAGGACCATTGTGAGAAGGGCTACACACAGCCTCAGAGAGAAGAAAACAGGATTTTTGTTGTGTATGTGTGTGTGTGTTTTTTTTAAGAGCAACAATGACTTCGTGATCAAAAAAAAAAAAGGAAGAAAGAAAATGTTGCTGTCCTTGAATTACTCAAAAGGACTCTAACGGAAACGCCAGAGTAAAGTCCATAAATTTTGAAGTCTGTTGTGGAATCCAAAGACTTTAAAGGCAAAATGTAAAACATAGATATGAATAAAAATTTGGAAAACCTAAAAATAGAACACACAGGACTTTGATAAAAAGAAAAAATCATTTTAAAAAATCATTTGAACCCACACATCAAATAGTGCATATAATGTTTGGCCAAAATTCGCCACCTGGCTTCAAAATGTTAAAACAGAAGAACACTGAGTTAGTGAGTAAAGAACAAGGCTGAGGATGCTACCACATCTCCCGACTTCTGCCCGATGCTCCCGGTCTCCACAATGTGCCACACTGATCTTCATCTCAGAGATAAAGACCGCATGGAACAGCAGGAGGGTTGAGCTGTGAAAGTTTACAAAAGGATGCTTTCATCAGGAAGAAATACAGAATGCAAAAGGGAAAAGAGAACAGAAATCAGGTGTTTTCAAATGTGCCTGCAAAAATATAGGTGGAATTTAGTATCTGTTTTTTTTTTTTTTTTTTTTTTTTTTTTTGCTGAGTAGCAGATATAAAATTATATATGTGTACACACACACACAGGACAGTTACGAATGTCAAGAATACAAAAATATCCCATCATTCAAAAGTCCTCATAGTACCTGATGGCAGAAACCCTTTTTAAATTTTTGTTTTAAAATAACTTTAGATTTACAGAAATGTTGTAAACATAGCACAGTGTGTCTTGTGTGGGTATTTCTGGATGAGATTAGCATGTAAATTAGTGGACTGAGTAAAGCAGATTGTCCTCCCTGAGGTGGGTGGGCCTCATCCAATCAGTTGAAGGCCTGAATAGAACAAAAAGCCTGACCCCTCACCTGAGTAAGGAAGACAGATTTCCTTCTGCCTAACTGCCTTCAAACTGGGACACTGGTCCCTCTGAGGTCTCCACCTTGCCAGTTCATCCTGCAGATCTTGGAACTTGTCAGCTTCCATAATTGTGTGAGCCAACTTCGTATAATAAATCCTAATGGATCGGTTTCTCTGAAGAATCCTGACTAATACACCTTCTCAGGGCATCAGATCAGGGAGCATGTAATATCCTATATCTTATGACTATGATATTAATCTTAACCATGTGGTACAGATGCCATCTGCTAGATTTTTCACTATAAAGTTAAGATTTATTTATTTGTAACTAATAATCTTGACAGAGACACTTTGAGACTTTATAAATATCCTGTTTCTCCTCAAACTTTGGCCTGCTAATTTTAGTGTCCATTGGTGGATGTTATCTGAAGCAAATATTACTGTAGTGTTTGCTTCATTGTGAGTTTCGATTTCTCTCATTCTTTGTATTGATTAGAATTCTACTGTCCTTTCTTTCCCATTTCCTAATGTATTCAATTATTTATTTATGTAAGTATGCACTAATGGATATCTATTTTATTCTATAGGCTATAATTCAATACTCTCATTATTTTGTTGCTCAAATTGTTCTAGCTTTGGCCTTTGGGAGCTTGGCAAAAGAAATTTTTTTTTAAGGAAATCGAATTAGATTTGACTCTGCTTAGAGACAAAGAGGCCAAGTTAAAGGCTTCAGACTGCAGCACTCTTGGGGTTCGCGAAGTGGCCCCGGGTCTCACGACCAGGGGGTTTTGACAAAAGCAGAACACTCAGGACACTTGTGAAGGGCACTGAGGTAGGAGACTTGGGTGATGAGACACTGTGAGCTTCATTTTTGGGAGGTGAACCATCTGGTGACTTCCACAGGACGGACAGAAGCAGCTGAGGGATATGTGGGCACCTGTAACTCCCCTGCCAGCCTCCAAGCTCGGAATGTGAACTGTGAACCACTGGTGAGGGAAAATGAAGATTGAAAACATCAAAGCCCCGGGTGTGAAGGGACGAGGGTACATCAGACCTTCTGAAGTATGCTCCACCTGAGGCCAGCTTCTAAGCGCCCAGAACACCTCCCCAAGGGTGCAGAGCCCTCCTGATGATGAGGGTGAGTCTACATGCTGATAGTAGCAAAGTGACCTCAGGTGCCCAGAGTGACCCAACAGACCTCACGGCTTGGTCTTCAAATGGCAATCAGAGAGCAGAGACCAGGAATGAAATATGAGGACAGTGACTATGCAGCCAGAGGGAGGGGC